ATTTTTTATTAATATTTTTTTATTAAATAATTATATTAGTTAAAATAATATTAATTAAGAGTAAAAAGTAAAAATTAAGATTATGCATTTTAAAAGGTAAGTTGAGTAATTTTGTTCTAAGGCGCTGAAATCAATACATCTATCATATAAGTTGAAGGAAAAGCCGCTAGACAAAATCCATCAGAATTTGAGCTACTTCATCATCTTTACGCGTAATTGAATCCTGCTTATTTGCCAAAAACACTACCAATAATTCAAAGTGCAATTCTCCGAACCATACAAGACAGAAATATTGGGCAATTTATCAAAATAAGATCCATCTAGCTTGAATTCGGTTTTATTTTTCTTGCTAGAAAATTTGAACGTCACTAATTGACATACTTAGAGAACCACTCCAACATCTTCCTATGGGCTTCCTCTGCAGAATTTACAGCTGCTTCATCGTTAACGTTGTACCTCAAGGTCCAACCATGTTTAACGTTGGGGAATATCTCCACATGGCTATCAACCTATACCAAAAATAAGAAAATAAATCGTAATGAAAAGTTGTCACATAATTAAGAAAACTAAGTTGTTACCTAGTAACCTATACCTCAGGTTTGGCAATTAAGATTGCCTCGAACCGTTTCAAGAGAGCCGGCGGAGAATAATCATCAATCTCAGCACCCAATATTGCAATGGGAACATTAACTCCTGCAAAACGGTTTTCTAACCTTTTATCATTTAAGTAGTTGAGTCACGTATTATGTACGCGAAAAATAACTTTATAAGTTTAATTATGCGTCAAAACAAGAATTAAGTCCATTAATTGAAGCAAGAGGGAAAAAATATTTCAAAAAATCACATGGAAAAAAAATTAAAGCTGTTTAGGAGTCTTCAACAAAAAAAAAAAAAAAAAATCTTAGGAAGATATTTTTAAAAAATCATTTTAATTAAAAGAAAGTGAGAAAAATAAAATCTTTTAAAGAAGAATATTGTAAAAAAAAATTACCAAAGAATATTAGGGAAAAAACAAAAATTGACAATAAGCAAACAGAAAGAAGAAAAAAATTAAAAAAAAGGAAAAAAAAGAAGAAGAGAAAAAGCTGAAAATAAAGGGTGCGTTTGGAATTGATTCCAAAACGTTTTTATTTTCTGTACG